ATAATATTTATAGGTACAAATCTATAAGCATGTCTTGAATCACTAGGGTACCTTTTAAACTTTCCTCATGTGCAGTCCAGGATGAATAATATATCCTTATTAAAAAATTGATTTTTAAATGTTGTGGTCGTGGGTAAAAATTAGAAGCTCAGTTTATATTGCGTATACACTCTACACTCTACACTCTACACTCTACACTCTACAGTCCTGTTAAGAAGATAAGCAGTTTCTTTAATGTAAGATTTGGACTTAAATATTTAAAGCTGAAAAAACGATCATATTTTATAAATAGTTCAAAATTACCAAAATTATCTACATCTTAAAAGCAAAATTTAGATTTTAAAGTTAATAATTTCAATCTTATTCTAACCCTTCAGTCCTCATACGGAGCCGAAGCTAAGATGTAACCAGTGTGAGCTGAGTAGCTAGGAACACTGTATTATTTCTAAAATGTTTAAATTATTAAAAAATAAGATTAAGATGATAAAATGAATGTATGTTCCTAAAGGTTGATTATGTCCGTTTCCTTGAAACCTTAAAAAAAGTTATTTTTGTGTATTATTTTCAATTATTTAAATTAATTATATTAATTTAATGTTTATAGATGCTCAGAATTACAACGAATTGTCTCCAAATTTTTGATTACTTGTAAATCCGAATTTTTTTTATTGTTTTTTCAAAGAAAAAAATGATGAAAGATTGAGCAATTAAAAGTTGAAATAGAAGATAGCCTAGTTTTATAAAACTTTATTAATACCTAATATTTAACAGTTACTTAAGCTTATATTTAACAGTTCACGTTTTTTTTNCTAAAAAAAAAATAAACTTTAAAAATAAAATTGAAAGGAAAAGTAAGTTTTAAAAGAATTTACCAGCAAGCCTTTTTAAAATTGTTTATTCTTTTTTTAAGAAGATAAAATTTTATCTAATTCAATTTCTTTTAGAATTCTTTTAGACCTTTAGACCTGGTATGACTTTAAAAAGTCCGATGAACATGAGACAAAAAACAGACTCATTTCACTTTGAAAGTGATTTTATAAGTTACTAGAAAAACTGGTTGCTTAGTAACAACATCAAATACACTTGATTATATATTTTATGTCGTCTTCCTATTACACAGTGTACTGGTTCTTACTGTATGTATTTAACATTAAAAAAAAAAATATTGCAAATTGAAAAACGAAAAAGTTGAAATGAATTATTTCAGTTTCTAAGAAAAGTCCAGGTATTATCATGAGACCCCTTTATTGATTAAAATCCACAACGGCACTTTACAGTTTAATCTGAGCAACAGAAATGAGATATTGTCGTTTTTCTTTCTTAAAACTTTTTTCAATTTAATAGCTTCTCTGTGCCTCATAATTTCATGAATAAACACAAATGAAAATGACAGAAAAACAATATTTCTTTTTCACTTTATTTGTTTTAAGAGTACCACTGTTAAACGGCATTCTCTCTTTTAATTGAGAGCCTATTGAAATTTTGTCGATAGTTCCTTTAAAACATTTCGTCGTTAGTTCCTTTAAATTGGTCTTTGCATGCCTGCGTTTCTTCCCACTTTTTCTCCCTGCGCTTTTCTTTACTTTCTGCTTCCATACTTTTCTACATTGTAGATTTATCTAAAATGTAGAAATAAAAACATTTGTTGAGATTTTTATGATGATTATTATAAAAGATAATTCATTTCCAAAGTATGATGGTTTACTAAATAAGAGTAAAAAATGTTAAGGCTATACATACAAATACATCATCATTTGTTTCTTGATGAATGTTCAAATAATTGAATTGATCAATATTTAAAGAAAGTACTCCTCCAAGATAATATTTTTTTTTTCTGACTCAAAAAGTTTTAATCATGATTATTTATCGATTGTTTCTTATAATTTTTATTCAATTTTGAGAACAAAAATTTTCCTGCATTTTTGCGCATCATTTCATGATCTTCGATATAAAAGTTTCTTATTTGTTCCGCGGCAAATAAGTAATATTTAATTCCACCAAAGCAGTGGCCGAATTTAAAGAATTTAAGCGGCGGTTTAAATTTAAGCCGCGGCTTAAATATGGTTGGTTCCACTTAAAATTGTATCAAATGTTTCAAGATTTAAGCCGGCGCTAAATTTTAACCGGGTTTTGGCGGATTTTGGCGGATTTAAACCGCGGCTCAAAATCTTTAAATTCCAGCTCTGGTTTCCCTTATAGTTTCGCGAATTTTAATAAAAAATGTACATTTTTATGAAACACGAACTGAATAAATTTTTTTATCCAATTGTCTTGTGTTACTATTTGGGAAATTATATTTTTTGTTTTGATTTTTACTTTTTTCTTTAAATTCAAGATTTTTAATCACTCACTCTGTTCGGGATTAAAAATCTTGAATTTAAACCTTAAACAAACAAAAAAGTAAAAATTCCGGCCAAAAAAATATATTATCCCGCATTATAACACAAGACAGTTGCACAAATAGATATTAAAAGCAAGAAACATACAAGTCACTTTTGCAGAGAAACCACACATGAAAATAAACAATACAAATATAGATATCTTGATCACTTGAAATTACACTAACCATCCCTTTAAAAAGTTTTAATAACTGTACAAATGAAAGTCTTTATTTGGTATATTTAATGATAACTGACGAATATATACTCGGTCCGAAGAATCATGCATTACATCCATTAGTGCTTCAAGCAAACTGTATAATTTCAGCGCTGTAACCTGGAAATCTGATTATTAAAAGGGAATCAGGGATATATTTCAGATACAGGGCTACCCACAAAAATGAAACTTTATAAAACGAAATTTACGTAATTTCTGAAGACCTTTTTTAATTTTCTTGGTTTACATGTCTAACTGGTGCTGAGAGATTTTTTTTTACCAAACATAAGTTCACGTATAAAAAACTTACAATAGGGGAAAATTCGACCGTCATATTCGTCTTAATACTTGAAGACTTTTCAGGGTCATAATTAAAGTCTTATTCTTTTTGGTAACCCAGTGTAATCTATAGAGAGAACAAGAAAACTTTTGGCAAGCTTTTGTATGATATGTCCATAGATAAAGATAGATTGCGCATAAGACGACATTTTTCATCAAGAAAGATATAAATGTACAGAGATGTTTTAAAGATATTTCTATTATATAGATTAACTAAGTCGGTTGTGAACATTGGCTGTTCTTATGTCATTGAGTACTTCTCATGTCCTTCTTCAGTTCTCAAAATAAAATTCACTCCTGAGGGGTTTAATAATTATGAAATCCATTAAAACACCAAACCACCCCGCTTATCGTTAAAGTACACTTTGACCCCTAGAAGTATGAGTTCGCGGACTGTACAATTCTTGGTGATTTTGCGTACATAAGCTATCTATATTTATTTATTTATCTATTGTTGAAACTATATATCTGATCAGTAATGTGGATCGTAGATAGCGTTCTCAATAGAAAATATGTTAAGTTCTGATAATACCTACATTATTTTATTTCATCAAAGAAAACAGAGTTGAAAATATTCTGTATTCTACAGGGTGTCCCACGAAACATGACAGTTGGCGATTAGTTTAAAATGTCTTCTTCCCTAATTTTGTTGTTTGATACCAAAGTTAGACAATAATAAAAATATTATATGGGAGTCATGTTACAGAAAATTGATTAAAAAGTAAAATATATACAAGCAAAAAATTTTTTTTAACGAAATAAACTACAAAAAGCCTTTCACATATAATACAGTATATGGAAGACGACATTCAAAACTATTTATCAATTGTCATATTTCGTGGGACACCCTGTAAATTATAAACATCGATATATATAAAATTAAAACTTAATCCGAATAGCTCTTACAGGGTACTATTTTGAATTGAATCTATGCATATCTATAAATAGAGAGTCACATGAAATAACGCCGATCAGACTCTTTAAGTTTCAGTTAAAAAAGTAGAACCATGTTAAATTAAAGTAAATTGGATCAGACCCTTTAAGTTTCAGGTAAAAAAGTTGAACCATGGTAATCTAAACTAAATTGGATCAGACCCTTTAAGTTTCAATTAAAAAAGTAGAACTATGTTAAACTAAACTAAATTGGATCAAACACTTTAAGTTTCAATTAAAAAAGTAGAACTATGTTAATCTAAAGTAAATTGGATCAGACACTTTAAGTTTCAATTAAAAAAGTAGAACTATGTTAAACTAAACTAAATTGGATCAGACACTTTAAGTTTCAATTAAAAAAGTAGATCCATTTTAAATTAAGTAAAATGGATCAGACACTTTAAGCTTCAGTTAAAAAAGTAGAACCACTTTAAATTAAAGTAAATTGGATCAGACACTTTAAGTTTTAATTAAAAAAGTAAAACCATGTTAAATTAAAGTAAATTGGATCAGACCCTTTAAGTTTCAGTTAAAAAAGTAGAACCATGTTAAATTAAAGTAAATTGGATCAGACCCTTTAAGTTTCAATTAAAAAGTAGAACCATGTTAAATTAAAGTAAATTGGATCAGACCCTTTAAGTTTCAGCTAAAAAAGTAGAACCATGTTAAATTAAAGTAAATTGGATCAGACCCTTTAAGTTTCAATTAAAAAAGTAGAACCATG